TTTATCATTTCACTGTCACAACTGTCTGGGAGGAAGCCTTAGCTGAAACATCTTGCAGTGTTCACAAGTCCAATGTGCCAGCTCCTGTATTCCATGATCTCTGCAGTCACAGGATATAGAAAATGAACTAAATATATATTATGCACAAAAATCCTAAAACAGCAATAATTTTGTCTACCTTGTATTCTTCCCATACCTATAGTCATGCTGTTGCTTTGGCTGGTTTTAATTTAATTTAGCCTGTAAGCTTCCTGGGGCCAACACTRTCTTTATTTGCCTGTGAAGTGTCCTGTATCAGGTACCATATAAATAATAAACCAGCTTCTGTCCAGGGTGTCTCTGCCTTGTTTGTGTTTAAAGATGAATAAAGTGTGGACTCTGTTGAATTATTTCTCWCAGTTTTGATCAGATGCTTCCACAGATGTGAGTCAGGGGTGCTGTGCTGCCTGCAAAGCTGCTGGTGGGCTCAGGATCCAGTTACACACCCAAAGGGCTCTCTGGGGTTTTCYTAGGGGGCCACAGAGCACCCTGCTMTCASAGGCTGGATGTGGGCATCTCAGTCCCACCTGTCAAAGCTATTCCTCCATCCCTAAGAAACTGGACTGGTCCCTGGGTGCGAGTGATAAGCACAAGCACAAATGGTGCCCAGGGGCCCTGTGGGTGACAAAACAGATCACCCAGAGCAGCCACAGAGCCAGTGAGGCTCACATGYCTCAGTGCTGTTCCCAAAGGTTTCTGCCCTACTGCTGCTTCCTGCCCTGTTACAGCTGCAGCCCTACTTTGTAACCAAACATTAAAAACAACACTCCCAGAGCCTCGGAGCTGTCTCTGTGTGTACAATGAGCCCCACCTTCTACAGAACATACAGAATAAAACAAAAGGCAGGAAACATTTCAAAACTGCTCCAGGAACTTGTGTCGATACAATCTCAATAATAGGACACACTCATTTGCAGCTGTCATGCCCTATTAAAGCCTACTCTTCCTCTTTCCAGAKATTACTAATTAGTTCACTTAATTTATCTGTTTTAATTTGCATGCTGCTCTTTTAATTACGGTGCAATTGCTGAAATAATATCCTCACTTGTTCTGCATTCGCACAGACACACACAAATATTTCAGTGCCTCTACAGAAAGGCTTATCCCTGCACAGCACTGCCATGGCTCCCAGGGAGAACAGCTGGCTTTCCATGGGTCAGGGGGGAAAGAAAAACATTGAATAAAAAMACCCATTGGGTCCCTAAGGTAGTGGGATTTTCAGTAATCTACTACTTTTATTAATCTTCTTTCACGTTCTTTACTGACTTTAAACATGTAGTAAGAACATTTTATTTAGCATAAAATGTTTGTAAAAGTCTGAAATTTAAATAATCGTGTGGATATTAGTATTTAATCTGTCTGCCTGTCAACTGCATTAATCTTTGTGTTTTTTCCCTGTTAAAAAAAACATTGCACGTATATAACATGGAGCCAAGCCATAGGAAAGCTGATTGTTCTTAGGTCTGACCTACTGACGAGCAGGTTTAGAAGTGAAAACAGGGCTGTAAAGGAGCAGGATTAGGTGGGCAGAAGAAAATTGAGYATTTTCTTAATTACCCAAATGCTAAAACCCACAGCCATCTCCTGGGTATTTAAAGGAAGTGGTTCTCCCCTCAAGAACACCACGTGTGGCTCACATCCCATCAATTAAATTAATCCCTAATTAATGTTGGTGAGAAACTCCCCCAAGGCCCCATTAGACCAGTCCTACATAAAGGAAGCTGTGAGTGCCCTTGGGCACCACAGGGGAGCAAAAGCCTGGGCAGTGCTRTCCCCAGCTCTACACATCCCACTCCTCCTGCCACAAGAGTCCCACATCAGCACATCCTTCTGCACTTACTAATCCTTGAAATACTTCTTCACTCCCCAGAAATGCACCTTTCTGTTCATTAAAAATACTAAACTTGAGCTACAATGTAGAAACAAGCTGTTGGTCAAAGCATTTAATATATGCTTTAATTTATATATATATATATAATACACTTAATAAATAAATAAATGGTACTTATTTAAATGGATATACGGCCTCAATCTACTGACCTTACTGGAGTTAACATGCACTGGGTGATGACTGGTAAAAATCACGGCTGATGCCTTTAGCTTGTAACAAAGGAAGCCCAGTGAGCTGTTAAAACACAATATAAYGAGCTTGATAAGTCAAAACTTCCTCATGAAAAGTATTTTGCTTTCCTCCATATGGACTGAAACTCAGCTGATTCCCTAACCAGGCCTTTCTTTGCCCATCCCAACATAAAAGCAAGCAAAAATCGTGATTTTCAAATTACACWATTTATTTAGTATACAATAGTCATTACATCTCTTTACAACAACGTATTATAAAATAACTATGTTAGATCCCACCAGCAGAACACTGAAACAAGAAATGAAAATACACTTACAGATCTCAAAGGCTTTTCTTCCCTAAAACGTTCTGGCTCCTTGATAGCATTTTTTTCTCTGCAGTCTAAAAAAAGTAATTCATACCACAATCCCAATGATCACATGCAGCATAAAAATCCTTGTGGACACCAAGGAACCAGACGAGGAGTCCTGCCCTGCCCTTCCCACTGCTGGTTACCAGTAAGACTCGGTACCTTGGCAATGGGAGGTACAGCCCGTGTCCCCCAGTCCCTCCCAGCTGTCCCTGCTCTCCCAGGCCTTTTTCTCAAACAGGGGCAGGGAGGAGCTGCTCCCTCTGAGCAGGGAACTGCTTTTGCCCCGGGGCACTTGGATTTACTGTTTTATGCAGGCTGGTGTCTGAAGGCTGCACTCCAGTCCCTGGAATATCCCTTAGTGTTAAACCTGCCTGATAATTTCTCATAATACATCTTTCTGTTAAAAAAAAACAAACCTGATCACATCAGTTTGCAATTGGTAATGTCTATGAAAAAGTTAAATTTCTCCTTTGGCAATATTAGAAATTGCATTTTTAAAGCAAGTGTGTTCAAAAATAATTACTGTTCCAGTCAGGATTTCTTAGTCTCAGCTGTTACCTACAAGTAAATTCTGAATACAACAGGGTGTCACTGGGCCTGGGAATCCCTCCCTTCCACCAAAGGAAAGTTGCTGCACCTTTCCAGAAMGATCCAATTGCATTCTAGAACAAACCATACAGCCCAGACATACTTTAACTTTTGTGTGCTTGTTTTCAATTACTGAAGGCACTCACTGAGGGATTCACTGACCCAGGCTTGCAGCAAGAACCACCATGCATCATTACAGGCCTAATTAAAGTTTTAATACTGATTAAAATGTTTTATTATGGTATTATGTTAAACTGCAGTGGTCTCCAACCTCATTAAAGGATACAGGCTAGGAATTAYTCAGGAGTTTCAGCTGCTCAGTGTAACTACCCAGCTCCTGTCAGTKTGTGATTTAACACAGCCTGGCTGCAGCACAGCCTTCTGTGCCAGAGAGAAAGGCAGAAGGATGTTGAACATTGTTTAATGAATATTTACTGAATGTAAAATTGTTTGAGCATGTGACATAACCATCTCAATCTCTTCAGTAATTTACCTTGGTACAACTGAAAGGGAAAACACTTAAATCATCTGGAACTGGAGCCCAGCTCAGTTGTGACAGCTAATCTCATTACACATCTTGATTAAATTAAATGTGGGGTTTGCTATCTGTAGCACTTTAAGTTTCCCATCATTAGAAATTAATTGCAGTRGTAATTACTATAACTGAGTTATTTGTACAGGCCACAAACACTCCTATAGGTGTTCAAATGTTAATTCACTGTGGGCCTGGAGGCACTTGATTATTACAATTCTGTTTTTCATAAGAAACAAATGATCCTAGTGGATGTCCAATTTAAGATGGAGAGTGCTGTGAAACTTCCAGATTTGATATCTAATTTCAATCTAAAACCAAAACAGTGCTAAAAACTCAGCAAAAGCCATGTGGTACCTTCGTAACATTTAGAAATCCAATACAATTCACAATTCATTTTTACTGGCTGGTAAAAAGACAAAAGGTACAAACAAATCACAAAATTCTCAGTATTGAGGTCTGGCTTCACTTAACCTTCCATGTCATTTTAAAATACTAGTAGTCTCTGTTCTAATATAAAGAACAAAGACGCGATGATTTTGTGCTAAAATACAGAGCTTTGTGTCTGAAATAATACAAAGCAAAGCTCTACTATTGGAACATATTTGAAATGCTGAAATTCTGCTGATTTAGAGATGAGGTTTTCTTTTGTTCAATTTTCTTATCCTAGTGGGATTCACATGGGGCGAAAAAGGATCCCCCATAGTTCAGAAAGTATATACAGAAAAGTGTTGTGAGAATCCAAACTRAGAAATTTGGATTTTCATTTGTTCTGAGCATTTTACAAGGATACAAACATGCAACATGTATCAAGCATGCTCCAGCCTTTTTCCTCACTAGAAATACTTAACACTCCATGATTAAACACTTAATGTTATAAACCAGTTTGTTGCTGATCACTAAAAATGCTGGACCAAAGAGTAAAGTTTTTTCTTCAAAACTGTTTGCTTAATCCGCACTCACTGATTCTGCAATCACACTCACAAGACTGGAAACTCATATCCACATACATTCCCAAAGGATTCAAAAAAGAGGCACTGAAAGAGCACAAGGATCTGTCAAAAAGGATCRGACTGTAAGACGAAACTTCATTTTGTGACTGTTTGCAGGATTCATAAAGGTAATGCTTACTCAAGATAGGAGTATCATGGGCTGCTTTCACTGAATTTCTGTCACTCGAGAGCAGAAATCTGAACTGCTGAGTAGATTCACAGGCTGGCAMTCAGCAGTGCTCCCACAGGCTGCTGCCTTTGTCTTCCAATCAGTTAAAACTGGAAAACAATTATAACCTAAGTATTGAGAGGCTCAGAATTCATTATCAAAATGGTCCATGCTAGCATTTCTTTATGAATCTATGAAAATTTTGGTGACATCAAGAATGTTATCAAAACTAAACTGTCTAAAAAAAAGAGTAATTAAACAAGGAACCATTAGTGTAAAATGTCTTAGAAATGTAACTTGTTTGTAAACTTCAGCTGCATTTCCTAATGTGGGTCCTAGCAGTGAATACTGAACTTGAAGCCGTGGGTGGAAACATTATTTATGCTTGGCAAGTTTGTAAACATGGAATGTTTTGTTTTGAAACACTCTGGTGAAGTGCATGGTGTAAGAAGGAAGGTTTTTTTTAATTTCCTCACAGAAGCGAGGATACAATGAAGGTTTCAAATCAGGTTCATTTTCTCCCAAGCCATCCATGATCTGCAATGAAATGGAATAGATGTGTGAAATATCTTTAGCCAATTCACAATTACAGGCAATAACAAGTTCAAAACAACCTCGACAATTCATTCACTGGGTCAGGCTGGCCAGGTTTGCTCACAGTATGAAACAAGCAGGAGGAAGAAAACAGCTTTAAACCTCTAAGAGTTACACTATTGTCTCTAAATGGATAAAGCTGCCATATCAGAGGTCTGTATCTGCTTGGACATGTGCAGTCTGCTCTGGCTCCATCTCAGCCCCAGAAATGCCTGACTCCCCTGACACRGAGTAGTAACAGAACCACACTGCTTCTGAGGGGGAACTGCATGTCTGAATTGATATATACACCTGGGAGAGAACTCAGCTTGTGTACTGCTAACTTGGAGCTCATCAAAAAGTGATTCCTTATCCTGCCCAGGCTCAATTCCTTCTTTTTTATTCTCAAATACCCTTACAAGCAAGCAGTGTTAATTTAGCCATTTTGAGAATGTCTAAGGGCTCCAGTTGATTTTCCTTCCCACAGTACAAACAYGCTGAGCTACCTCAAATTGTAACTGGATTTCAAAGTGAAGTCAAGCAAAATGCATGTTGTTCCTTGATTTCTGTAACACTCACGTGGCCATTGGCTACATCCAGCAGGTCCCGCAGGCGGCAGCCCCTGCTGTGCCTCCTCTCGTAGCAAATGCTGTCCTCCAGGATCACRTAGTCCGTGCCAAAGGAGCGCAGGATGCTGTACACGTCACCGGGAGATCGCTTGGCATAGATCTGGTAAATCTGGAGAACAAGGAAACACAGCTCTAACACACACCACAGCACTGCTACTGCTTTGTTTGCTCTGTCATGACTCCTCTACCTCAAGCCAGACAACTGAGAGTGAGAAACCATGTGAGTGAAGTATTATAGAAACAATCTATAAATGCTTTATTCAGTAGCCACACAGAGTTGTGTGTTATGGCTGTGATGCTGCTGACTACACAACACTGGATGGTGCTGTCAGGCTTTGAGAGGGTCTCAAGTTCAGGCAAGGGTAAGTGGAAAGAATCCCCCCAGCTCTGTGAGCAGTTTCTCAGGRTAGTTTGTATAATGCTGTGTGCTGGTCTGGGAACTGAAGGGAGTATCAGGAAATGCTCCATATGGGTTTAACAGCCCAAGTGGGATCTACTGATGCCACAGTAGCCAAASCAGTGCCCTTGGGGCTAGCTGGGTATCCAGGCACAGAGCTGCTCAGACATACACCAGCTGCCAGAAGTGAGTCAGGASATCCCAAAGCAGRTAAGCCTGGGCCCTGTGTCTGACAGTAAGTTATTCATGAGTAAAGATTGTGATGCYTTTTGCAAAGTGCCACTACAGAGGRCATTTGCTTTCTGGAGTGGAGCCACTGACATGAGCAAGAATTACTTTAAACAGTCAGAAATCTCTTACCTGCCTTGTTCTCTCCCTCAGATTCTTATCCTCATAGTGGGGATGGTTGGTTAGGGTCCGTCCAGTGCACAGTTTGACTCCTGCTAACAGCTGCATGCTCCCAGCAAACACTGCTGTGTTTGGAGTGTTTGACCTAAACAAACATTGATAAGTCTGAGAAAGTTTCTGCARGGGCATTTCTGCAATGTTTGTGACAGATCAGAAGGAAAAAAAAGACTATAAAAGTATTTTTCTGTTTCTCCTCTATTCAGGGAGCAAACTGTTCAAGCAACTATTTTCTTCAAATATGAAGTAGGTAAATTACGACAATAAACTGCAAATAAAAAATTTACTAAGCACTATGAGGAAATTTAAAGAAAACATGATTCTGACAATTTCAAACTATTCCATATTTCATATATTTCTCAGGTTCATAAAGCTTCTGAATATTTATAGGTTTCTATATTCTAATCTTTTAGTATTTCAAGAAACTCATTGTGACTTAGGTTTGTGTCTGATATATCAGGTGCTTTATATAAAATGAATTATTTAATCTGAGTGGTAAAACTTGCTGTTCCTGTCCTGGCATTCACCATTCACTTGGAATGAAACTTTGTTCCATGAGACATTAGTCTTCCTATTCAGACAAACGAGGAAGAGAAACAATGAAAAAGATACCCCAGTTACGAAAAGCTGGGGAGGGGGGATGCAGAAGACGCCAGATAGAAATGTTGTCACTTATTGCTACTGTAACCTGTGAAATTCCAAATAGCAGGATTACTCAAATACCCATAATGAAGAAAATTATTTTTATCACCTTCCCTTTAGTTTACAATCTAAAATATTCGTAAAGACACAATGGAAGGGCAGAGCAAAAAGAAAAAGTGCCAGGCAGTAGACTCTCCTGTAATCAGGGTAATTAAAACTGGTCATGATATGCTGAAGTGTTTTCTAGTGCTTAGTAGGCACATAACCATGGAAGGGGCTATGAAGACTATAACAACAGAACACAGCACACACTAAATCAACTAAAATGAAATTGTAATGTGGATGGGTGCCTAACATCCCCATGTATACACTAAAGTACTCCAGTAACTGTGACACTTTGGGGTGCACTTTAGGGAGCTTTGGAAACTGCAGCTACAGTCASTCATCTTTAAGCTCCACAATCAGCTCAAAAATGTTGAGAGACAAGAATTAAATTTTACTATTGCCTTTCAAGAGATTATGCTTAGCAAATGAATTAATAATTACAAACCCTTCCTAAAAACTCTTGCACTGGTACATTAATCTCGTCTAGGAAAGCCACAGATAGTATTTTTAATAGGCCAGTTTACTGATAGACTAGTTCTTCAACACTTAATAAAACCAGTTTCATTTTAAAGTCTGAAAATATTTAATCTCTAAAGAATTTACTGCTTAAATATTCAAAGCCACAAGTGTCATGAAGTGTATGTTTCATCAAAAGAAATTAATTCCTATTAGAATTTAGTACTATGCAAATGGCATGGCCCTGACAGGCTGTCAGTGAGCACTCATCCCTGGATCTGCAGGAAAGCACAAGTCTGCAGGACTAAACTGCAAAGGACATGGGCTGGACTCACACAGGGATGAGGGACAGCTTAGACACCCAAATAAAAATGATGATTCTTAAAGCATCTTCAGCATGTTTCTGTGTTTATGCCTGGGCCAGGCAACTTCTGCTGTTAAGTAGGTTTCTGTGCTTGTTCCAGATTAGTTCAAATTTTAAAAYCTGTCTGACCATACCAAGGCAACCCTGCTCTTCTGATTGCAGATTTGCACTGTAATGGGCTCTGCAGCAGACTCAAAACTTTCTTAAACCCACTCACACAGCCCCTCCCAACAAGTACCAAGGGCAAAACTACAAGGAAAAAAGTAAACAAAAAAGATAAACCAGCCTGCAGCCTCTTTTCTTTCAAAAGAAAGCTAAAGGAAAGGTAGTAGTGCCCTTTGATCAATAACCTACTGGTAAAACTGCTYGTCAAAAATTTAGAATCACAGAATACACTGAGTTGGAAGGGACTGACAGGGCCCATCCAGTCCAACTCCAGGCCCTGCACAGACACCCCAAAAATCCCACTCTGTCCCTGAGAGCACTGTCTAAATGCTCCTGGAGCTCTGGCAGCCTCGGGGCTGTGCCCATTCCCCGGGGAGCCTGGGCAGTGCCCCAGCACCCTCTAGGGGAAGAAGTTTTTCCCAATCTCCAGCCTAATCCTACCCTGGCACAGCTCCAGCCATTCTCTGTCCCTGGTCCYAGGGAACAAAGATTAGAGCTGCAGCCCCCAGTGAACCTCCCCTCAGAAGATGGATCATGCAAAATATTCAGGATTGCATTCGTCCCCTTTCCAAAAGCATTCACTCCTGCCCAGAAGGGGCGAAATACAACTGAGTGCCTTCTTTACAGGACAGAAGGTGTTTTGCCAGCACTTCCTCCTCCCTGTCCCTTGAAGACAATCGAGTGACCCTCACTTGCTTTTCAAATAACCCCCCTAAGTGCTTTGGTCYTAGGTGGAGTTTAAAATCCAGTGTTCCAGTGAAGGCAGATGTTTCCCTGAGACTCAGATTTACAGGTTTGAAGTCCTAGGAAATTATATTTTTAAACACATCACAGTCCAYATTTTACTGGGCCAGCTCAGATGTTTCAGAGCAGCAGGAGCTACTGGAAGCTCTCTTTTCCTGTGCTCCACTGGCAATGCTCTGGGCAGAGAGCTGGGAGGTGACACCAGGGAGGTGACACAGCCCCAAGCAGTGTCTGCCTTTCCAGTTCCATGCCCAGGAGCCCTTGTGGGTGGCCACTGCTGAGTGCTGGAGAGGCACGAGCAACACGGAGCATTCCCAGGGCCAGGATGATTCCTGAATCCCAGGAAGCTCCTGCCCATGGCCCAGCCTGAGCCAGGCACTGCCCACACTGCTCTGCACCCAGGGCACCTCTTGTGCTGCAAATCTCTGAATGACACTTCTCTATTACACAAAAATGAAGCAATTTTTACAACTGTCTGAGCAAATGATGTATAAAATGAAAGGATAATTTGTTTTTATAGCTCTCTGCCAGGCTCCATACCACACTGCCCAACCTGCAAACAATTTATTCTCTAGGAAATGTCACTAAATAATGACAAGGACTTGCAGGTCAAACTGATTTACATTATGTAATTTAAATGCCATTCCAAGCAGACCTGATGGCATTTTGAACAAATAATCTCATTTATTTTTGAAGCTCTAAGCTTTCAACAAGTTAATTACAGCTGAGCTAATGGGTAAACTAAGCACTATATTATAGYGTAGGAAGCTTTCCTTTACCTTACACTTAAGAATTCAGAGAATTATATAAATGATAAAGAATAACTCATTAAAAATAAAAGGGTTTCACAGGAACTACTTGCACAGACTCTGAAAGTGGTAGTAATACTTTCTTTTAAATTGCTAAAGAATTATTCTGAGCTGGTTTTAAGGAAGCACTAAGGAAGAAATGGCTAACATTGCAATTACAGTTATATCATAGAAATAAAATGGCTATTTCTAGTAAAAGTCCTCCAGAGTTGAACCCTGTAGTTGGCTTTCARAGCCATAAAATCTGACAAGTCTCAGATTATTCCTTTACTAGTGCCTCACTATGGTATGAATCTACAAAGCAAAAGGATTTGAGAAAAGGAGATTCTGAGGAATATGCCATGATAGATTTTTCTTTTTCTTTAAAAGAAAATCCTTTTATTTGCAGAATGCAATATTAAAATATCACAAGTTTAGCTGCAGATGATAGGCAGTAAAGCATATTCAGTCACACTGTCATGGTTCTTTTTTTTCCCTCTGGTTTGGAAAGACTGAAAATGGCAAAAATGGAAAATGACAGCCACAAAGAAAGAGCAACAAGATGCGTTTTTGTTAGTCCCAGTCTCAATTTTAGGCATGCAGATTATGCTCACATAAAGAAGTGCACCTACACATTTGGTATAAACCTACTTCTCAGGCACCCTCAAGCTCATGCCTGAAATTTTGTGACAAGTCTGTCTGACAAAAACCCAAGAATTTAAGAACAACAATAAAAAAAAAAAAAGGAAGAAAAAGTGTAATGTTGCCTTTAAAGTCTGGAACATGTGTTTAGTGTGATTTCAGTGTGATTACCCTTAAAAATCAATCATGTAAATAATAGAGTTAGAATTTAAACCTGGCTTGAAATTAAAATACAGCCATTAATATAAATTATTATAAATAACTAAATGAAAGAACCACCATGGAAACATGGGTGTTTCATTTGCATAACCTTAGGAGCCTTTTGGAAATTTGTGGGGTTTCCACTAATATCCAAATTTGCGTGCTTGCCCCCACACACTGGTTCAGGTACAGCTGACATCCAACAATGCTCTGCCAAATCTCAGTCTCAGTTAACTTTTCCATTGTTTTGTCTGTTGCCCAAGATTTCTAAGGACTTTTTCYGTGAGTTTTGGCAACTGCCATTGAAATATACCACAATTCTTGACAGRTTTCCCCTTTAAAGGCAGAAGACATTGCTTCTTTAACACTTACCAGAAGTAAACAGAGTAGGGAAGTTCACGCTATTGATTTGCTCATTCTACTGATATTCTTCCCCATCTCACAAATGAGCATGTTGTTCCTGTTGTCTTAGGGAGAAAGACCAAAACTAAGAATTTTAATGTACCTCCCAGCTGGGAACAGAGCTGTGAACTATCCCTGGAGCACTGGCTTCTTGACTTTTTTGTTTAAAAAAAGCTAAGAAAATGAGGTGGTGGGTAGGAAAAAAAGCAGAAGACTGGGATGTGCAAGATCATTATGTAAAAAATTGTGCTCTGCAATTGTACAGATACAAACCAGTAGATCTTCCTGAAAATGCTGTGGCAATTTTAGTGAGGGGAAGAGTAAGAAATAAATCTGCAGACACTTCACAGGGGACAGACTAATAGCTGGCCATTATTCAGATTGTATATTTGGACAAGTTAATATGCATTTAGAGCTAAGCAGACAGAAGGGTTTTCTTGTTGTGGAGAGATTGCAAGACAGATGAGTTATTCCTAATTCACTGCTGTACATGACAAATTAGAGCTTTTCATACTGAGTTTTAATAATGAATGATTAGTTCCTGACACCAGCCTTGACAGGTCATTAACTACAGCACAACTATCAAGTGTTAGTATAGTAAAAGAGTTCTCTTACACATCAAACTTAACAAAATCTGTCCYACTTTGAGAAACTTACCATAAATTTTGTTGACTGGTATTTAAAGCATAGATAATTAACTCTTCTTTACAGGAATAATGTTTCTAAATACAATAAATTCTAAGTAAAAAAATGTCCCTCTGTAATTGTCTGTCATGACTTGAAATGAAGAGATGACAAGCACCAGTTTAGCATTCTCAGCACTAAGAACACATGAAAAATTATTCTCATTGGAGCCAGTCAAATCAAGTTCGTGGCTGGGAATAACTCCACATGCATATTTTATGTATAAATCTATATATAACTCTATATATTGCACACAGGAGACCTGAACTATCAGACATTTACCATCTTTTAATAAAACAGTAGTGCTAAATGGAACAGGCTGGTAAACATTAGTCACAAAAACATGTCAATAAGGCTGCAAAGATTCTAAATGATGGAAAAAATCATGGCTTGCTTTCAAAATAAGTCAGTGAAGGCTTGTAATATATTTTACTTCTAAATTACTCCTTCTAGTTTATGGATTAAAGAAAAATAACATTATGGAGTGTAAATATGTTGCTATGGGGAGAAAAGGCTGGGTGACTAGTTTCACTGAAGTTCATTGCAGATGAAGGAAATACTCCAAGGAAATACTTCAAACAGTTCAATATTTAATGTTGTATATTCAGATTTACTTTCAGAATGTTTTCCTCCATAACATGAAACCCATTTTCTTTTTCTAAAATCATTGCCAGAGTTGCAAATAAATACAAGTCCCTGGAATCTCCCTGCTGAGAACTTAACCTGAAAGTTTTTGGTGGTTACTATATGTTAATAGGGAACCTTTTAAGTTCACAGCCCTCCAGAGAACATCCTACCTGGCCTTTTTTTCTCAGTATCTTCTATATGCAGTGTTCCAAACTGTTTCCACCTAAAAAAATACCTTCCTATRCTCTGTGGGAAAGCAGAAGTGATGAGGTGGGGTTGGAATGATGAACTCACACTCCTGAAAGACTTTGCATCTACGCTTGGCTATGAGAAGCTCATGTTCAATTAAAAATATTTTGTTTGCAGTTTGGAACACATGCTAGGATTAATTCTAGCAATGCATAAACAATTTAGATTGTTTCAGAGTCCAAGAAACAGACTGCAGAGTACAAATTTTCCAGCACTGCATCCAAGAGTTTTAACATTATAGAGTTGAGAAGGACATCAGTTTGGGGGGTGGGAATTAAAATTATTTCACTGCAAAGGTCTATTATTATAAAGAAGAAGCTATAATACAATGAGATAAGCTTGACACCTCCAAATTTACCTCTTTTGGTTGGGAAAACCACGTGTCCTTAAGGGAGAAAAGGGATCAGCTGGTTCCCTGATGCACGTGGAACACAGCAGTGATACTGAACCAGAGCATGGAGCTGCTCTCCACAGCTGCTCATATCCAACCTCCTGCTAACCCACTCATCCTAACTATCCCCACGGGTCACCAGAGTTCATTGATGAGCTGTGACAAATAAGGAGAACACTATAACTAAGAACATTAGATCTACACAAATAGCATTTAACTTAAATAGAGAAAAAATCCTCTTACTTAATCCAGTTCATCAGCTCCACAGTGTCTGGGTCATAGAACTCTCTCAGCTCTGATAGTTCATCCATTATTCCTGGCCAGAACTAAAATGGAAACAAAACAGAACAACCTGAAGACAGAATGAACAAAACAARTTCTGAATGCTGAAATGTATTACTTCCTCTTTGCTGGCAACTATCCTTGTCCAGCTGTTGGGTAAATGGCAAGACACAAGGGTATCTATCTACCCTTCCAGGAAGGAGAGGTGGCTGTCACAGCAGGATGAACACCATTTCAGAATTTGAGATCTGCAGCTCCTGCCAGATGACCAGCAGGACCAGAACTGTGATAAGGAAAGGCCCCAAGAATTAACATTGAGTTTGGAAAGGAAATGCAAAATTAAATAAATAAAAGGTAGGAAATCTGTATCAGACRTAAACATCATTAGATGTGCTCTGGATGCCATTAATGGTATTTCAGAARTCTGAATTAACAGAGAACCACTGAAGGCAAAAATAAAACTGTGACTGAATGACAACAACGGATAAACCTTTAGGGGCAAAGCATTTCAAAATTTACTGCAGATAAAGAATACATAAATCAAATTTTGAGCAGAGAAAGAAGGAGGCAGATTCTGAAAAGCTTAACCCTTCCCCCCCAAAAGCTAAGGGAGCAATGATTTGTTTAAGTGTTTATTGTTTAAGCCAATGAATATTCTAGGGCAGAAGGGAGCAATCAAGGAAGATAAAGACAATGCTAATGACAGATCRCTGTGCATCAGTCTTTACTGAGGATGCTATGGTGAAACCTATTCCAAACCTTATCCTTTAGATAATAAGGATTGCTGGTTTGAAAACTGAAACTCTCCTGGAAAAACKGTAAGAAAACCCACCTGATAATCTAAAAAGCCATAAATCATCCCGTTTATATAAAGCTCATCCAAGAGTTCAGGAGGAATTTGAATGTGGTGCTGCTGAGCCCCTTAGCAAACACAGCCATTCTTTTACTAAAACTGCAATTAGGTGGCAGGACTGGGGGCAGGAGCTATAATTGGGACTATTAAGATACTCACTGATTTAACTGTTTACTTGCTACACCTGGTCAAGTACTCCTGGCAYGGCCCAGATGGAGCCATGGCAGCATCACAGCCCTGGGGAAGCTCTGGGAAGTACAGCAGTGTAACAGATGTATTTCTACTCTTCAGAAGCTTTCTCAGAGATTAGTAAATTCAGCTGTTGTGAAATAAGACTGTGGAGTCTCATAATGAATCAAAATTTCCTCTCTTTGTTACTTAACTGCCCTGAATAACTAAACATTCTGAGAGCTTGGGGTCCTTCAGGGTCGAGGCAGGAGCAATGGCTTTGCTTTTCAGTCATTGCAACCTGCCCTGTAACCTCTGGAGGATCCAGGGATACAGCTCCCTGCGAGTGCAGGAACTATTTCACAGCATTCACTCTCCGGAGGTTTTTAAAGTTACTTCAACTTCTGAGGACAAGCAATTTCCACTGGAGGAAAATGTTGGTAATGGGGTTTGCTAYTACTGAATTGAAACATTTCCAGATTATGTTAGAGCCAAGAGAAAACTAAGGAACTTCAGGAGTTCCAAATACAAGAGAATTACAAAAGAAATAAAAAGTAAAGCATACAAAAATATGGACCAATAACACAGAAGTTTGTTTTGTAAATCAAGTATATGTCAGATTGAGGAAAAAGTGTACAGTGATACCARGAGAGGATAAAAAGAACAGATGGAGCATATCAGGTATGTAACAAACTGCTCAGAAGAGTGAGGGAAATGTAAAAGAGATTTCCAAATTGTAGCAGTACTTGTCTCTGGGGTCAAAGACTTCAGAAAATAAACGAGTTGTCAAGTGGCTTAATTAGTCCTAAACTGTAGCTGTTCAGTGTAGCCAAAGACTGCTCMGATCGTGGGTCTATGCTGCAGTATGTACTGAAATAAATGTCCATGTTTGGAGCAAAAGGACTTGGCCATGATGAAGATAAAAATGCAGCTGGAGAAATTAAAGGAATGGASAGTTTACTAGCAAAGAGAAATCAAGATTATTTGGCAAACCCAGGAATTAGAATGCTCAAACTTGAGAGCTCACCTTAAATACCAACAATTTATTCAGGAATGACTGACATAAAACCACAAATTGATGAGTATKATTGTGAATTTAAAATACAATGAACACAGATAAAGATGAAATCTATCTACAAAGTGTAAGAAGTGAAACATAAAYACTACTTGGTACTGCATTATGTATGTGTTATCTGCAGCACAGCTAAAGCATGCATGGAAATACTTCCAATGTTTTGCACTATATTAATGAGGAAGACATGTATAGAGAAATACAGATGTTTTACAGGTCTCAAAACATCCTGTACCTGAAATCTGAAAGAAAGCCAGCTTTGTAGCTGCATCTGCATCTCAATAAATTATTGTTCAAGTGATGTATTTGGGGCTGTAGTAACCACATGCTTCAAAAGAAGCTTTCATTAGCTTATTGAGGATTAGGTTAATAATCCCATAAAAGTCCTATTTTGAGGAACTGCACTGTAGAATAGTTCTTCTGACAAATGTAACAGATAATGRAACACCAAAAATTTTCAAGAATATAGCCCTGATGACCAGTTAACTTTGTGGTGTACAGARAAACTGTCCTTGCAATCTGAGCAGTGACTGAACAGATAAATTCTTGTCTGGAAAAGAGAAAGAGAAATCTCTTTTCCAAAAATCTCCTTCCACTGTCTAAGGTTTTAGGGAGAGAATGTAAAACCACTTCTCATAGAAGTAATGGGTACTTTCTGGACCTCTCTGTAAGAATTCCTGTCTGACCACTGCCAGGGAATGTGGGACATGTGCTGAGCTGGGTCCTTTCCAGCTCAGAATATTCTGTGATCTCTGAGGCATCTCACCAACTCGTTCAGCTTTGCAGAAAAGACCCCCAGAGACATCCACTTCTCTGTAGCTCAACTATAAGAACTGACTCAGAACCACTCAGAGATGATGAATTTCTCACTCCCACTGAGAAATTTGAAAAACATTATTTTTAATGTCAATAAAAACTATTTCCTCTATTTAGAAGAAACACAAAAATTATGCTTTTCAGGCAGACTGAGCAGAACTAATGACTGCTCTAAAGCCCATGAAATCAGTGGTTTCTGTTGACTTCAGAATTGAATCTGACAGGATGTAGGAACTTTACATCTGCTCATGAAGAGTGGAAGGAAAATTATTCCTAGTGATCTGTCACATTCAACTATCAGAATGTCATGCTCTTGGTATCTCCCATGTCAAAAGAAATTGCATTGTTTGTGTCATATTCAGGGATGATGCAAATTACTTCCCTAACCAGCACATCAGTGGACAAAGAAAGTCCTAAAAAGTCCTCRAACAGAATAATAAGACAATTTGAGTAGAAAACAGTATTTTTTTGACTTTGTGTTTGTTTTATCAGGGGGAACACACTACTGGAGTGAACTCTTATTAGTAGCTTTTTTAACTGTTATGCTTTACTACTAATTTCATTAATACTATTTAAAAGGCAATCTTGTGTTTCTCTGAAGGAAATTATTTAACAAAAATTTTCAACTCAGATCAGTTTTTGCAGAAACAATAGTAGAATCTGAATCTTTTATCTTTGTGAACATAGATTACAAGCATGGTTTGCCCATTTAGTGTTCTAAATCTCACTGCTGACAGATTGATAATCTTGTATATGTTATTGATTTAAGTATGTTTTATATATTTACATTAAAGTGTTTGACAATAGAAATATTYTCTTTCTAGAACAGACAGATGACAACACAGGTATTTGACCATTTAATAATTCCTGTACTTTAAAACTGAGGCACAGCAGTATAGAATATTATTTGTGCTCCTACAATAAATCATTACACAATGTGACAATCTGCATATTATCCACAACTTAGTTAAAAACAAAAGAGACAACTCCCATTTCCATAAAATTACGCACTTAAATAACACCTGTTACTTACATATTCAGTGAAACAAACATTTGTGCCTGTGAACAAATACTKTGGATCAAATAAGCCAAACCTTCACAGACAATTTCATAGGCACAAAGGTCCTTCCTTGCACTTCGGTAGTTTATCCCCATTTTTAAAATTAAGTTACAAATCTTGTATGTAGTTATTAATAAAATAACGCCATTCTATGAGAAAATTCCATACAACTAAAAAAATGCCAAAACATTGAGAAAAAATTTCTTACCTTATAYGAAATGTACAGTAATGTAATTATTGGTATAGAATACTTAATCACCTGTGTCTAAGAGAAATTGAAAAAAAAATTGGTTATTTTGATGATACAYTTAAGAGTTAATTTTTAATGTCTTGACATCTGAAATATTTAACATGTAGTTGAATTTATAGAATTTTAAGACCACATTCTGATTTTGTTTTCAAGTAAAACCCTAATTACAGATCAATCACAAAAGATGAATTTATATTTTTAAATCTACATCCTACAAAATGGAAATACTCTCATTCAGTATAATTGAAAAGGTCTTCTCAGACTGTTGATGATATCTTAATATGGAGCCTTTTTTAGTAAAATTGTSGTTATTTTTCGTAGCCACATCTATATTGCCATCTAGTGTATTCCAATGGAATTGTTTAGTATAGAAACCACTAGAAAAAATATTTTACTTACTAAATTTACACAAATGTACAGCAAAGATACCTGGTTTAAGAGAACTACAAACAATATTCAACTCTGAGACTTGAGTTGGTTTAGATATGGTCCAAAACCCACTGGATGAAGTTCTGGAAGTCCCCTGCTCACCCTCTGGGATGTGTAGAGATGGAGACACTTCAGGAAAAGTTTCCAAACCTCTGTACTGCACAGGCCAAAGGATGCAAATACACACATGTGGGATGTCCAGAGGTACTTCATTCTGGAAGGACAGATGTTTTCATGATCATCTGGAGCTCTGCAAAGCTGTTTGATCAGAGCATCTAGAGAAATTCTGAACACAATTTTCTTGGACATTCAGGCTTCTGAAATAAYGGAATACAAGACTAACTTTGCACTTTGCTATGTGCTCTTGAGAACATCTTTGTTCCCAATTTTCCATTCTTTATGGCAGAACTTTGGGAAATGCCTCAGTCTGTAAGTAGAAATACACCAGGGAGRGAAACAAGGTTCATGGTCCTGTATAGTCTGTGGTCAACATTTTACACTCACGTAGAAATATACTCAGTCATCTAAACAAGCTGTTAGTAGTATTAAAATATACCTCATTGTGCTTAATGCCAGACATCCAAAAAGAACTGTGTGAACTAAGCTGTAAGCAGCATCAGGCCTCAGTGTTACTGTGCATTCTTCCATTTTTCCCTTTGGCTGGACTTGATTTGAACCACTGAGTGGAGAAATAAACAGTGTTATATTAAGTTCTCTAATGTACTTCATACAGTTATCTGCATTTTCAAAAGCATTGAATCCTGAGGCTGGAAAGAAGCACCATTACTATCAGATCACAATCTTCTATCGTATTTATGATATAATTTAGCCTGATGCCACCAATTTGATGCAACATCAAGTATTTCTTTAGCTCCAACAGAAAGTTACTTATTCTGCCTGATTTCTCTATACACCCTGCTCTTCAGTAGCTGTGCAAAGCAATCCTGTATATGCTGCTGTATTCACCTGTCAGTTCCTTAGCCAGCTCAATTGAGAAAAGTGTGAATTATCTTTAAACTGTATTTACCTGAGGTTCCTAAAGGCAACAATCACAGMTGCTACTGTCAGAAGGAAGAGAACAAATCCATAGACATAAAAAAGTAATGTACTGGAGAGTCTCGAAAAAGTATTTAAAGGTAGTAAACCAAAGGCTTCTTCACAAAGATACAGATTAGCATCAAAATCTCTAAAAAAAAAAAAGAAAAAAAAAATCCTTATCCATCATGTATTTTATAACTTGATGTCAAAAAGGATCAAATTTCCTTCTTTTCCCAAGAAATTATAAGGTTACAGTTGTGCAAATTATTATAAGGRCAAGTATAACATAAACATGAAATAAAACTGTGATTTATTACACACATTTGAAATAAGAACAACCTGAAGGCTTCAATTAAAGAAGTCAAACAGAAAAGCAAAAACCCCTTTTTTCAATTAAAGAAGTCAAAAAAAACCCTGCAGCTAAATCATACCTTGTTGCCCCAAATCCAAATTTTGCTTTTARGAATTTGAATATATGTTCATCTGACTCAAGATTAAGTATTTTCTACAAAGTGAGGAAAGAGAAAGGAAGTTATATTTTTAAACATCAAAAATSTCACAAAGTAAACAGCTTTTTCCATCATTTAAGTAAAACTGTAAAGCAACTGTCAAGATTACTAAAATGGGTGTTTTGCAATCAAAGCAGCATTCAGTTTTAACTACATTCGTTGAAAAGAAAATTCAATCAAAAACTTTGCAAATTCTCAGCAGTATAGAGCTGTAACTGTTACAAAATTACAAACTATTTGGTGYTAATTTATGAAGTTTTCAAATCCATATATCAAAGATTAGCAAAATGGTCTTTAATTTCTAAAATGTAGTTTCTGAGATGCAGAGAAATCTCACTGCAATTTTTATTTAATGGTATTACTGTAGATGGTTACAAAAATATAATTTTTTTAACAAAATATAATTTGTAACTKTTGATATTAAAAATTGCCTACCTTAATAAATTTATTTATTAGGAGAGTCAAGCACAAGACTAATAGAACATGGAGGATAAGTTTCCCAAGCCGTTTAAGCAAGCCACCCTTTTTTAGGTTTTTCTAYAAAGAAGAAAATATTAGTATTTCAGCCCTTTTTWAAARTGTATTTGGAAYWAATACAAAAAGCATYAAAGCATTTGAAACAGCTRATCTGCTGATCAAACCCAAATTAKWWTWRGG